CGACTTCGCGACCCGCCTCAGTTCAGATCGCTCGCTGACCTGCAGCGGGAGTGAGCTCGGCCTCCCCTCGGCCGCGCGGACGAATACAAGGTCAAGGTCACGACTCGTCCGAGTTCAGACCAGTCGTAAGAATCAAGCTGTTTCTAAAGCTGTGACTCCTTCCTGGCACGGCGGTGGGTTCCGTTGCTCGAACACACAAGAATACTGAAGCTACACGCATGAAAGGCGGCTCATTTGTAACTGGATTGGCCGTGCAAAACTGGCGGGGTTGTAGGGCAGATCCTTTCAAAAAGGCGGGCGTCGCGGGACAATTCTGTCCAACTTGATCGACCTACCCCTTGCCGCTTCTTCCAGCTAGAAAGATGGAGGGTGAAGCCTGTGAAAACAGAAAACTAGTCTCTCGCACCAGTGACACGCCCACCGCGCGCTCGTCATTGAGGGGGGCGCATCCATGGTAGAGAGGAACACTAGATAGAAAAGCATGGTATGAGGAATCGGCATGGGACGGGAGGGTGTATTGAAGCATCGCTGACGCATCCTGGGTTCACGCTGGTCCTGCACCTCCTCCTGTTTCTCCTCCTCCCCGTCATCCTCCTCGCCGTCCTCCCCTCGCCGTCCGCCTCCCTTGCTTGCGGCTGAAATGTTCTCTCCTGCTCCTGCTCTCGTCACCGTGTGGTCGTGTGGGTATAACGTAGTGAGTGTCCCACTGTGTCAGAGGACGTGTCCTAAGCGGTGCCATCTTGTGGTAGCTATCATGGCGTCGTCCACGGTATCCCCGCCGGGTTAATGCTGAGGCTTTGCCAAGTGTGTTCACACAACAAGCCAGCGATTAGGCGCCGACATACCAATAAGCCCATTATTCTAACAAATGGCACCGTATCGCCTCAATGCGTGCAACCAACCTGTGCTCCATGGCGCGAAAAAAAAAAACGCGAAGATAACGTCCCGAAAGCGAACATACAAAGGATGATTGTGTGCCACGTCTGTGGCGCAAGGACAAGAAGTGCCGAGCAACGGCAAGCAATTCTAAGCCATCCAACGCAACGCTGAGAAGTTCCAATAAGAGCAAGCAAAGCAAAACCAAATGGCAGCAACAGGGCGACAACCAGGCGGCAACGAGCCGCGGCGGGGCGGCGGCGGGGTGGCCACAGGCCAGCAACGATTCGAACATCCGAACTCACAGCAAGCTCCTTCAAAAAAAAATATGAAGAACCCCTGGTGACAACATTGGTCGGACAAGCATCTGCAACATGACGTCTGACTGACACTTGAGAACTCCGCAATTGCAGGGCAAGGAACGCTGGATCAGACTCGCGGCCTAAACTGCCTTGATCATGTGAAAGCGTGTGCTGCAAACGAACGTGTAAGCTGGGGTCAACGGGCTCCAACCAGATCAACCACGCAAGACTACGTAAACTACATGCGCTCGACTACGCTGCGAAGGGCCTGCCAAAGCAAAGACAGCACAGACCGAGTCAGGGTCAGCAATTATCCAGACGATCAAAGTACACATACACGTGAGGTGGACCCCTCCTGGCTCCCCTGTTCGTCCCTGGCTAGTCTGCCAAACACGTGTGTGTATATTGCTTGCGCCAATCAAACACGTTAACACATACACATACGACCTGGGAGCCA